CCTGAGTCTCCTGCACTTCAGGCAGATTCTTTAAGAAAAAACCTGAGCCACCAGGGAAACCCCTGTATCAGGAGGTGGTGACCTCATGGTCTCATGGTCTGGGTTCTGATGGCTCGGGTGCAAATCCTGAGCCCAATCCTTGGGCGACTGAGTTAATTTCCCAGCAGCTGGACCTGCCTGCCAGTGCTCTTTGGAGTTTGACGTGAAACAGATCTGGTAAATATTTCAGCTCCTGGAAGCTGACATGCAGCAGCTGCTCTGCTGGTTAGGGACCCTGCAGCTGACATCCTCGCCTAAGGTCACAACTGGGCCCTCCCAGCACCCCAAGCCTGGGAATCCTAGGGCAGTGTGGCCTGCCCTCCGGGCTGGGACCCACAGGATCTCTGCTTCCTCTTGCCCTGGCTCAGAGTACTTCCCCTCTGCTGGTCACACTAGGCTCACATTTAAATGTCAACTCACCACCTACCCTACAGTCGCAGCCCCTCTCCCCCTGGCCACACCCTGTTTCATTTCCTCCATGCCTTCTTTACCCAGGGAGGTGAGCTTCCCACTGGGTTGACCGGCTAACACCTGGCCTCACCCTCGAGGTCTGATGGTGTCTCTAACATTCAACTCCAACCTCAGCAGCTGGCACGTGGCAGGGCTTGCAGGTTTGTTGGGAGAAGAGATGAGCCAACAACTGGCCACCTGGACCCATCCCCCAAGTCTCCCTCATCTCCTCCTCTGGGTGCTGGGTCTCTCCTTCTGTCCTGGGCTGGCTGCTCCGCCTCCTTCCTCACCCCAGTGCATGAGGGCGGGCCGGGGACTGAGCCGCTCGGGGTCAGGGCACCTCAACCTCAAAACTGGCAACACTCTGTGGCCGGGTAACCCTTGGCTGTGGGAGGCTGACCTGTACCTCACAGGATGTTAGGCAGCTTCCACAGCTTCTACCACTGGATGCCAGGAGCATCCCTCCCCACTGCCCATCATACGCGACAGCCAGAAACGCCAGCACACAGCCAAGTGGTCCTGGCAGGTGAAATTGCTCCCTGCTGAGAACCCCTGCTCCAGGCCGGCTGCTCAGAGAGGAATGAGGGAGCATCTTGCGGGCAGGCATGTGCAGGAGAAAGAATGTTGGGCCTGGTGATGGGACGGAGTTTCCCAGGTGGCGGTAAGGAGCCACCCTCCTCTTGCTCCCAGGATCCTCTGAGCACACTTAAGACAGGGCTGTGATGTCACACCGTCCTCACGGGAGGGCCCGAGTCCAGCTGAATCTCAGCTCTTTAGGTGCATACTGAGTGCTGCACTCACTATGCCAGCAAATCTGGAAAGAAGCAGTGGCCACAGGACTGGAAGAAGTCAGTTTTCATTCCAATCCCAATGAAGGGCAATACCAAAGAATGTTCAAACTGTCGCACAGTTGCACTCATTTCACATGCTAGCAAGGTAATGCTCAAAATCCTTTAAGCTAGCTTCAACAGTATATGAACCAAAAACTTCCAGATGTACAATCTGGATTTAGAAAAGGCAGAGGAATCAGAAATCAAAACTGCCAACATCCACCACATCATAGAAAAAGCAAGAGAGTTCCACAAACACATCTCCTTTGTTATGCTAAAGCCTTTGTGTGGATCACAACAAACTGTGGAAAACTCTTTAAGAGATAAGAATACTAGACCACCTTACCTGCCTCCTGAGAAATCTGTATGCAGGTCAAGAAGCAACAGTTAGAACCAGACATGGAACAATGGACTGGGTCCAAATTGGGAAAGGAGTACGTCAAGGCTGTATATTGTCACCCTGCTTATTTAACTTCTGTGCAGAGTACATCGTGCGAAATGCTGGAATAGATGAAGCACAAACTGGAATCAAGATTGTCAGGAGAAATATCAATACCCTCAGATACGCAGATGACACCACCCTCATGGCAGAAACTGAAGAGGAACTGAAGAGCCTCTTGATGAAAGTGAAAGAGGAGAGTGAAAAAGCTGGCTTGAAACTCAACATTCAGAAAACTAAGATCATGTCATCCAGTCCCATCACTTCATGGTAAATAGATGGGGAAACAGTGGAAACAGAGGCTGACTTTATTTTATTGGGCTCCAAAATCACTGCAGATGGTGACTGTAGCCATGAAATTAAAAGACGCTGGCTCCTTGGAAGGAAAGTTATGACAAACCTAGACAGCATATTAAAAAGCAGAGACGTTACTCTGCTGACAGAGGTCCGTCCAGTCTGTGGTTTTTCTAGTGGTCATGTATGGATGTGAGAGTTGGACCATAAAGAAGTTAGAGTGCCACAGAATTGATACTTTTGAACTGTGATGCTTTTGAACCAAGAGTCCCTTGAACTGCAAGGAGATTAAGCCAGTCAATCCTACAGGAAATCAACCATGAATATTCACTGGAAGGACTGATACTGAAGGTAACGCTCCAATTCTTTGGCCACCTGATGTGAAGAGCCGACTCACTGGAAAAGACCCTGATGCTGGGAAAGATTGAGGGGCAGAAAGCGAGGGGGGTGACAGAGAATGAGATGGCTGGACATGAATACAATGGACATGAATTTGAGCAGATTCCAAGAGATAGTGAAGGACAGGGAAGCCTGGTGTGCTGCAGTCCATGGGGTCACAAACAGTCAGACACGACTGAGTGACTGAACAATACAGTGCAATACAATCTCTTTCCTCTATGCATTAATGGGGGGGAGGGGGGGGAGGCTTAACTAAATCACAAGTTCTTGTATTACTTAAAGATTAGCCAATGTGCCACGTGCGGAAGCAAGATGTTAACTGTGTGATTCAGTCTGGAAACCGATCATTCAGCTGAAAAGAGATTAGCTTAGCGGTTACTAATCAGCTAGTGAGGAATTGTAATGGGGGGACCATCAGTTGGGAAGTGCCGTTCCAGGCAGAAGCTGGGTCGTTATGGAGACAAACCGGCTCTCACAACCAAGGTGTCCTCTGCAAAGACAGGAGGAGACCTCTGAGCCTGCCGCCGCCCAGCCAGTCTCTAATTAGGCTACAGGGGAATCTCACTCAGCCTGAAAAAGGATGGGGATCCTGACGCAGGCTACAACACGGATGAACCTTGAGGACATTATGCCGAGTGAAATAAACCAGACAGAAAGGACAAATCATGTGTGATCCTGCTTATGTGAAGTAGCTACAAGAGGAAACCTCAGAGAAATCAGGGGGGTGGCTGCCACGAGCAGGAGGCGGGGCGGCGGGGGGTCACTGCTGGTCGGGTGCTGAGCTCAGTTCTGCGGATGCACGGTGGTGATGGCCGCCCAACACCATCAGTGTCCTTAAAGCCACTGAACTGGACAGTCAGAAACACAGCACTGGGTATCACGTAAGTGCTGATGGTACCACAGCGAAAGAAGACAGAGAAACAGCCAAAGTCTCTAATGAGGCTTTGGCTCGCCTTGGATTAGGGGAAGTTAGGGGAAGTTAGGGGAAGTTAGGGGAAGTTAAGGGAACTTGGGTTACGGCAAATGCCCAACTCTGGAGGGGACATTCCAGTCAGGGGACCCGTCTCGCTGAGACGGCACCCATAGCCCGCCGAATGTTCGTCCGGGGGCGTGCTCCCCAGGGGAGGTGACCCTCAGAATGGGGCCGTGACCACCCGCTGGGAGGGTGCGGCCAGGTTGAGAGGACTTCCCTAGGCGCCTCCGCTGGTCGCCGGCCTCCTAAATTTCTGTCCTCCGGCCCTTGCTGGGGGAGATGTGAGGGCTAAGGCAGCTTCTCCAGTGGGGATGGGGGCCAGCTCTCCCCTCTCCAAAGTACAGCTGACCTTGAACAAGGGTAGGGTTCATCTGTGTGTAACTTATAGTTAACCTCCCCCTCCCCCCAGTATCCACGGTTTCTCCACATCCACAGATTCAACCAACCATGGATGATGCAGAACTGTGGCATTTACTACTGAAGACAATCCACGGGCATGGGGACCGTCGTTGTTCAAGGGCCAACTGTGCAGTGGATTCCTGTTACTCTAGGTGGTCTTGTTCCACAGCATCACCTTGATGCTGAACTAGCGAGTCGGGAACCAGTGGTCCTGGGGCAACCATGGGGTGAGATTCCTGCCAGCCTTGGGTCACAACACACTTGTCAACCATCAATATGGAACCTTATTGCACACTGTGTCTTCACTTTGTCTATGTGAAGACACCCAACTTCATGCGCGTGGTGATTCACCGACATTGAACTCAGGGTAGCAGCCGGAAGCTCATTGCACCCATGTGTTCCCCTCCTTAAAGCATATCCCAGCCGGCCGGGGCTTGGGGACCCAACACAAGATGTCAGTGCCACCTTGGGGCCACTTTAGATGGTGAAGTCACTGCAGAAAGATATGTGATGCCAGGGACATGACGCTAAGCAGATGGTGGTGCTCGTGGTAAAGAACCCACTTGCCAATGCAAGAAATATAAGAGATGTGGGTTCAATCCGTAGGTCAGGAAGATGCCCTGGAGGAGGGCATGGCCACCCACTCCAGTATTCTCGCCGGGAGAATCCCATGGACAGAGGAGCCTGGTGGGCTATACAGTCCATGCGGTCACAAAGAGTCAGACACGACTGCAGTGACTTAGCGCCCTGCATGCAAGTAGACATGAGGCGGAAAGGAGAAGGCAGGGTCGCCTTGGCTTGACCTGTCTGGAAGCCAGCACTGGGGGATTCAACATCTTTTAGCGATTTGCAGCTGAACCTGTCCAGCGCCTGCAGTGCAGCTGGAGGAATGCTATGGAAGCACAAGTCTGATCCTGGCTCCTCTGCTCCAAGCCCTTCAGGTCTTCTGGTCTCAGAAGGGCCCCACCACGTGGCCCAGGGCCGGACCCCTCTCCCCTCCCTTTCTCTTTATGCTCCTGCTCTTCTCAGCCCTGGACACGCTCATCCCCTTCTTTATTCTCTCTGCCCACCCCACCCCGGGCTGGGTGGATTGATGGTGCGGGGCACGTAGGTTTGTTTGAACGAACAAGCGGCGCTGATCGGGTACGTTCCCGCCCTGCCCTCCCGCCCCACTTACTCTTCTTGAAGAGCTTCTTCCGCCGTCCCGCCAGGGTGAGCTGGCCGTCCGCGCCGTCGCAGGTGCAGCCCTCGCTGCCCTGCACGTAGTACTTGGGCACCAGGTTGGAGACGGCCCTGCCCCCGGGCCGCGCGGGGCCCTTGCACTTGTGCAGCTTCAGCTTCCCCGAGGTGTCCTCCACGCACTGCCACTTCTGCAAGACACGCGCAGCCTCAGCCTCCCGGGCCTGCTCGCCCGCCCCGCCGCCTCCCTGCTCCCTGCTCCCAGCCACCCTACAGACGTCCCTCTTGTGGCCCCGACTGGACACAGGCTGGAGCCTGGAATGAGCTGCTCTGTGACGGATGAATACTGTCCACTGTGGGGGCGGGGAGCGGAGAAGTGGTACCCAAGGTGGTGCGCTGTGGCTGAGCGGGAACCCAGCCACGGGGAAGCCCCCTAAGAGAAAAGCACTCGGATGGGAGGGCGTGGCTCGTACGCAGGGAAGGGCCCTTCCAGAAGGTATAGTGTGAGGCAGGTCGTGGCAGTGGGGTGGGGGTGGGGGGGCGTGGTCAGCAGGGTATGACTGCATCGGCCGGAGGTGGGAGGTGGGTGTCTGGGCTGGGATCCTGGAGGCCCTAGAGCTGTAAGTGCCGGGCGTGGCTGAGGCCTCCCCAGCTGGCCTAGCCTCCTCCTACCCCCCACCACGTGCTCCTTTCCTTGGTTAAGCAGTGTGCTTGGATAATTGGTTTCAAAGACAGATCAGGCAGCCCTCTCGCTGTCCAGGACTGCCAGACCCCCAATCTGCAGGGAGAGGCTGGGGATGGGCCAGCAGGGGGATTTGACTACAATCCCAGGGGGACAAAGGCCCCTCGTGGCCTCATTGATTCATCCCCTGAAGCTCAGAACTGAAATCTGAGCCCCTCTGGGTCTGCCCAGATGGTCAGCTCTGGGAGGCCAGAGCTTTCTGTCCAGAGCTTTCTTCCTGTGCCTGGCAACAAAGGCAGCCTTGAATGCTGCTCCAGCGTGACCCGAAGTGCTCCAGGGGCACGGGTGGGTCCTTGATGCCCTCCATGGCAGGGTGAGGGGATGGTGAACGAATGCTGGATGGGGCAATTGGAGCCCAGCCGTGAGGACAGGTCGGTGCCAATTCCGAGTCTAGCGATAAGACACAGCTGCCTGGATGCAGCCTGTGACATGCACCCAACTGGTGCCTGGCCTTGGCAACCCACAGGTTTATTAAGGAGAAATGGAATGTGGAGGCCCTGGGTTTACTTCCTGTTACTGGTGAAATGGGCTCACATCTCCAGGCTTGAGCCAGCACGGATGAGCTCAAAGTCCCAGCTCGCAGACCGAGGCAAGGAAGCACCTTCTGTCTGTGCCTGGGCCTTTCCAGGGCCCCCTGCCTGCTCCCCCTGCTCATCCGCCCCCCTCTCTCCCCCTGAACCTCGCCTCGGGCTGGTATCTCTCTCTACAAGGCTCCACCCTCACTCCCCATCCTCTCCAGAGTCCACCTTGGCCTCCCAGGCCTCAGAAAATCAAGTTCAGTCTCTCCCAAACCTCCATCACAGTTTCTGTTATCTCCAAATACTGTCTGGGTTATATTTTCCTTAACATTTCTCCTGAAATCAGCTCACATTTTTACAACCTAAACGTGTTTACATCAGGAGGTAATTTCCTGTTGTTCCTATGTAAGTGGAAAGCCAGCCACAAAGATGATCTGGGAGAGTGAATACAATGGAAATAGTTATTTAACTTTATAAATACTGCGCAGAGGCCAGCTGTGTCTTTGTTAAAGAGGGATCGGGCAAGGGTCTCAGAGCAGCTAAAGACACGTGCACCCACGGGGGAGCTTTCCTCTGACGGGAGCAGGATTGGAAGGGTTTTCTGAGCGTTGTCTTTGCCCCCTGGCGTCACCCTGGGGTCACACATCATCAGGGACACTGGCTCCGCTGGTCTGAGAAGCAGACCTGGGCCGCGGTTTGGGGGGGCCCCTGAGAGGGAAGGAGGGACCCTGTCCCCAGCCCCAGCGCAGTGCTGAGCAGCCTCACCTGCCCCAGCTGTTCACACGCCGTCTGGTACTCGGCGCGCTGACACAGGTCCTTGACGCGCTGGTACTTGGGCAGGAAGTTCTCCTCCTGGGCATCCACCTTATCGCTGTCCCTCTTGTGCAGCAGTTTGCTGTGGGGCAGAGAGCGGAGGCGGGGCTGGTCGACCAGCTCTGGGGGAGCACGTGGCCCCACTCAGCCCTGCTGCAGGGTCAGCAGGGAGCACGTGCGTGCAGCCGGGCCCCGGCTTCCTGGGTACAGGGGGCCGAGGACACAGACTCCCAGCCCCCAGTGGAAGGTGGCGGAACAGCATCAATCTCCCTCCTGCCCTTGACATTTGTAGTATTGCGGGCGCAGGTGGGACTGCGGGGCGCTTCGTGGGAGGCACAGGTGGGGGTTGCCCGGTATTGCCCTGGGGCGGCTCCTCCAGACCCCGGCACTCACCCTCTCTCCACCAGGAAGGAGTCCCGCCAGACCCTCAGCTTCTTTTTCAAGTGAAACCTTGGGGGAGAAAGCACATGTCCATCTTCTCATCAGTGCAGGGGCTCCCATGTCCCTCCATCCTTCCAGAAGCAGGGATGGCGCTCAGAGCCAGCCTTGATTCACAAGCAGCGCAGACCCCGGGGGCAGCCAGGGTGAGTGGGGGACACACACACACAGACACACATGAACACATACATGGACACACATGAACGCATGCATGGACACACATGAACACATGCACGGACACACACACAGACATGGACACACACACACCTCTCCTGGCCCACAGCAGAGCTGCACTTCCCTAGAGCCTTGGGTCTGAACATGGGGCAGAATGACCCAGGTCAAAATCACTCCAAGTCACTCATAGTCATGTGCACGCCCCTCTGTGCCTCCCAGGAAGCCCAGCAGTTCCCCTGGTGCTGGAAGAGATTGCTTCCCTTTTACTTCAGCACCAGATGAAACGCTTCTCCTGACTTCAGGTTAATTACACTGTGTTTGGGGGGATGTTTTTCCCTTTGATCCTCTGTTGTTGGATTTAAGCGTGCATTTTGTGGAGTTTCGCGCTATCATTTCCACTTCCCAGACAGGGCCTTGGGCTGAGAGAGGGCGCTTCCATTCTGCACCCGACCCCCCACTGTCCTGGCTCCCAACACAGAGCCCCCGCCCTCCCCAAACATGCCCATTTTTTACCCTTGTGAAAGTTGCTCAATCATGTCCGACTCTTTGCGACCCCAAGGACTGTATAGTCCATGAAATTCTCTAGGCCAAAATACTGGAGTGGGTAGCCTTTCCCTTCTCAAGGGGATTTTCCCAACCCAGGGATGGAACCCAGGTCTCCCACATTGCAGGCAGATTCTTTACCAGTACCCTTACAGCTCATAAAACCTCCTCGTCAGAGGGAGGAGGCTCGGCAGAGGTGGTTCCTTCTATAGGACACTTAGTCTTGGACAGACAGTGCCCACCCGGCCGGGGTCCCCTGAGCTGCAGAAGGTACCAGCTGGAGGCTGCATCCATCAGTGCTGTGGGGCCGTTACCTCGGTGGGCAGTTACACCGATGGCCGCTAGATGCCGCTGCTGCCACGCCAGTGACTGCGTCCTCCTCCTTCCTGTCTACCAGACTCAGCTCACCTTCACACCTAGTTTTTGCACACCATCACCGTATAGGGGGAGAAGGAAATGGCAACCCACTGCAGGATTCTTGCCTGGAGAATCCCATGGACAGAGGAGCCTGGCGGGCTATAGTCCACAGGGTTGCAAAGAGTCGGACATGACTGAGCGACTAAAACAACACCGTATAAGGTTATGGTTTTTCCAGTGGTCATGTATGGATGTGAGAGTTGCACCATAAAGAAAGCTGAGCACCAAAGAATTGATGCTTTTGAACTGTGGTGTTGGAGAAGACTCTTGAGAGTCCCTTGGACAGCAAGGAGATCCAACCAGTCCATCCTAAAGGAAATCAGTCTTGCATATTCATTGGAAGGACTGATGCTGAAGCTCCAATATTTTGGCACGTGATGCAAAGAACTGATTCATTGGGAAAGACCCTGATGCTGGGAAAGATTGAAGGCAGGAGGAGAAGGGGACACGAGAGGATGAGATGGTTGGACGGCCTCACTGACTCTGAGACTGGACATGAGTCTGAGCAAGCTCTGGGAGCCGGTTATGGACAGGGAGGGCTGGAGTGCTGCAGTCCATGGGGTCGCAAGGAGTTGAATACGACTGAACAACAAGACTGGTCTTCTGTTTGCCTCCCGGACACCCAGGAACATGTTCCCATCATACCATCCGGCATTAGAGCTACCGATCATGGCGATTAAGAGTGTAGCCTCTAGTCTAGAGTCTGGATGCCTGGACTGGGATCCAGACCTGCCAAGAGAACTCTGACAAATCACTTGACTGCTCTGGGATTCAGTTTCCAAGCTGGAATCATAATAATGCCAACTTCACTGAGTTACTGTGAAGATTAAAATAATAAAATCTGCTGCAAAGCACTCAGAACAAGGCCGGCATACAGAAAGTGCTTAATTAATGTTAGCTCCGATAGCTGTTTTTTTTTTTTCACGTTTCACCCAATTTGAGTTGTGGCCATATTCCAGCTGGGAAGGTGGACTCTTAGAGAGGGAGCTTCCTTCCCCCGCCCCACGGCAGGTAAGTGGTCAGGATGGGGGGCCCTAGAACCCCAGCTCCTCAGTATAGAGAAACCCCCGCCCCCCCCCCCCCCCGCCGAGACCCACACAGCTAGGCCAGGAGCTCAGACAGTGTGGGGTACTTGGCACCCCAGCACCCACCCCGCCCCCTCACCGATTCGCCGGCCGCTCTGTGTCCAGTAGCTTGAGGATGGATTTCCCGTCCATATCTGAGGGGATGTCCAGCCCGGCAATGTCCAGGATGGTGGGGGCCAGGTCGATGTTGAGCACGATGTGGGGATTCCTGATGGGGGAGGGCGAGAAGGACTCAGTCACCGGGGCGGTGGTGACCCGGCCTCCCCTGGGGCGGATGGCTCCACGGTGCCCCAAAGGCGGGAAAGCTGCCATCCACCCATCATGTCACTCTCCTGCACCCTGGCCCTCAAGGTTCCCCTCTGCACCCTGGATTCAGCTGAAGCCCAGCGCTCACCTTCCCACCCTCTGCACCACCGCAGGGGGCTGCGGTTCACAGGCCCACACCTGGACTCTGCGTGGCTCTTTCTTCTGCCGGGAAGGCCCTGCCTACCCCAACTCCTGAAAGGAGAACGCTTTCTTTTGAGACACACTCCAAACCCTGGACCTTCCCCGCGCCTCTGATGTGAACACTGGCCCCCTCGCTGCTCCTGGAAGCTGAGCACAGCCTAGCCTCCGGGCCTCTGCCCTGGTGTGTGCCCTCTGCCTGGAACGTGCTTCCTCCAGGCCCCAGCGAGCACACTCTCCCCACCTCTGACCCCGAGATCCCCAGGCTCTGGGGTTCACACCCTTGTGTGATCCCCTCCCCTTGAGGGTGGGCCAGACCACAGAACAGGAAAAGGGGACGGGATGTCAGACCAGGGGGCTGTCTTGTGGCCCAGCCTGTGTCCTGTTGGCCGTCCCTCCCTTGCTTCCTTTTCTCTGCTGGCTGGCTCTGCAGAAGCTCCTTGCCACAAGTTCAGCCCCAGAAAGGATGCCTGGTAAACACTCTGGGAGGCCGGCTCTGTGGGTTCAAGTCCTCCGTCGGCACCTGAACAGCCCTGTGCACGGAGAGACGGGCCGTTCCCCAGCTCAGCCTCTCTGGTTTTGAGTCCTGAGAAGCAGATCACAGACTCTGAGGCTGACCAGTGTAGTGACAGCTGCTGGCTTACAGCTCAGTCCACCTTCTCCTTCCAAAAGAAGTGATCCTAATGACTTTAATGGTCACACATTCTTCTCAAATAAGGAAAAACACGTACAAGTATCAGAAACCTGGTTTTGAGACAAATTCTAGCACTTCTCTCCTGTGCTATGTAATCTCAGGCAACTTAACCTGAGCCTCCGTTTCCTCGTGTTTAAAACACGGATAACACTCACATCTACCTTAGAGGCTTGTTATTATGCTTAACTGAGTTACCTGGATAGAAGGTGCTTAGACCAAAGCCTGAAGAATCACGCTGTATCAACATGGCTATTATTACAATAGCTATGATTGTAGGTGGGGACCCTGAGATCCAGACAGGGAGGGAACCAGTGAGGTCGGCAGAGGATGAGGGATGAGGCTGGGCTACAGCTCGCACTGCCTGCCTCCTGGAAGCTCCACCAAACCTCCCCGGCGGGGCAGGAACATCTTGGTCCCAAGACGTCGTCCTTTCAGGAGGAATCCTGTAGCTGCGTCAGTGTCTGCGTGCATCTGGGCTCAGACGGAAGTCGGACCCAATCAGCACCAGAGCAGTGACGACGTGCATTTCAAAAGACCCTTCGAGTTGGTCTCCATAACATCCCGGCTGACCCGGAAGCTGCAGCTATGATTACTCCCTTCCAGCCCCAGACACAACATTTTTGCTGCCAGGACGTGTCGTTTCAAAGGTTAACCCGCGGGGACGGCTGGATGAGGGCCCACGTGGCCCTCGGGGAAGGATGGCGGGGAGGCTGGTTCCCTTAGCGCTGCCACTGAGCCGGCCCCGCTGATCTCAGCCCAGGGCCCCTCCCTGACAACCGCCAGACCCACAACCCGTCAGGACAGACAGAAGTCAAGGTGGCATCCCCATGCGCTGGCAGGGACACACACACACAGTCCGGCTCCCTGACTCTCTGGCACAGTGCCCACCACAAAGAGTCTGTTTTCTCAGGTGCTAACAGCCCTGGCCTCCCCTTCCCCAACAGAGGGGAAGGCGATGATCAGAACCCACCCCGGGTGACATCACCGCCCCTTCGCTCGGCACCCAGGCCCACCTGCCCAAATCCCGCGCTCCCAGGGGAGTGGCTGGGGGCTGCCTGCTGAGTTGCCTGCTGCTTGCCCATGTGGGTGCCGATGAGCCTGGAGGCCTCCCGGGAACTGTGGGTTGCTGGGGTGGGCTGATGCACTTACAGGGAGCCGGCCTCCACGTTGGGGCCCCTCACGTAGAACGGGACCCTGATGTCGAATTCGTAAGGCATGGACTTCCCTTTCACCAGTCCGAACTGGCCAATGTGGTAGCCGTGGTCGGCTGTGTACACGATGTAGGTGTTGTCCAGCTCACCAGTCTCCACCAGCATGTTGTAAATCTGAAACGCAGGCGAGGCGGTGAGGATGTGGGGCGGGCTCGGGGCAGTGGGCACCTGGCCTGCTCTCCCCTAAAGGGGCGATGTGCTGGGGTCTCAGACCTGTCCCTCCCCTGCTTCAGGTCTTTGCTCAACTGTCACCTCTCTGTGGGGCCCCCGGGACTCACCGAGGTGGCCCTGTGGCCTCCTCACCTCCTGTCCCCCTTTGCTTGCCTTCTCAGCACTTATTTGCGGACTGTGTCTCCCTGCATTAGAATGTAGGTCCCATCTGGGTGGGACTTTGTCATTTTGTTCCCTGCTGGGTCCTGTGTGTGCTGGCACTCAACAGATGCTGTGGGATGGATGGATGAATGAATGAATGAATGGCTGGCCCGAGGCAGGAGTCTGTGAGCCACAACAGTGCCGCCCCATAGAACTTTCTGTGATGCAGGCAATGTTAACACCTCTGGCATGAGCCACCCAATGGCTATTCAGCACTTCAAATGTGGCCAGTGCAACTGAGGAACGAAATTTTAAATGTTATTGTGAAGTGACAATGTCAGTTGCTCAGTGGCGTCTGATTCTTTGTGGCCCTGTGGACTGTAACCCACGGTAGACTCCTCCATCCATCGAATTTTCAAGGCCAAGAATATTGGAATGGGTAGCCCTTCCCTTCTCCAGGGATTCTTCCTGACCCACGGATTGAACCCAGGTCTCCTGCATTGCAGACAGATTCTTTACCAGCTGAGCCACCAGGGAAGCCCTTACTGAACTTAAATAGTCATGGATAAATTTAAAAATGCGAATCTGGGCAATAGAATGTTTTTCAGCAACAACAACAAAATTAAGTACTTTCAAGTGAACCTTGAAATCATCGCACAAAGTGTAAGAAGCCAGATACAAAAAGAAAAAAACCCCACATATTGTAGGGTTCCTTTTATATGAAATGTTCAGAATAGGCGAATTCACAGAAACACAAAGTAGATGAGGGACTGCCTAAGGTGGAAGAGTGGGAGGGGGGTGGTTTGGGGTGACGGTTAAGGGCTGCAGGGTCTCTCTCTGGGGGTGATGAAACTGTTCTAAGGCCAACTGTGGTGATGATCAGGCAACTCTGTGAATAAGTGAAAACCCACTGAAACCTATGCTTGAATCCGGTGAGCTGAGCAGTATGTGAATTGTATCTCCAGGAAACTGTTAAAAAAGCGCATGTAGCCACACGTGGTTGCTGTAGTGGACCGACCAGAGCTGAACGGTTCCCCAAGGGCTGGGGTTCTGTCTGGATCACTCAGAGCCGGTTCCGGGTGCCTCACCCTTCTGCCAGGTTCCAGTCCTCTCCCGCTGCTGATGCTGGGGCGGGGCGGGGTGGGAGGAGGGCTGCCTACCGTCTCCATGGAGTCGTCCACCGACAGGAGGGTCTGCAGGCGCTTCCGCTGCAGCATGTTGGTGAACTGCATATGGATCGGCTTCATGGGCCCCGTGTAACGCATGATCCAGTGCTTGTCGGGGTTGGGTGCGTAGTTGTAGCTCGGGGTGCTGGTGGGCAGACGTGCACAGAGGTCAGACCAGGTGGTGGGTGGGGGTGCTGGGCCCTGCCCCCCAGGGACCACTCCCCTCCATGCCTTGGGAAAAAAGCAGCTGTGCTGGGGCTGCAGCCCAGGCTGAAACCTCACCCCTCTGGATGCCAGCATGTCGGGGGCTCTGCCCCACGTTTGGTCAGCATCTCTCTGTGTGCAGGGCATGCACGTGGGGAGACCTGGGGGTCACAGTGACAGGTGACCGGAGCCCCCCAGGGGACTGTCCTTCCCGTCTCAGCCCTGTCAGCACGCCCAGCGCATCCAGGCCGACGTCTCGGTCTGTGCTGGGCTCTCTCCTCCCTCGAATCTGCCACCTCCCCTTGTAGGGAGGTTCAAGTTCAGAACCACCCGTGGGTACAGCACCCAATTCCAATTTAACAGCAGGGCATTTATTTTTCAGCCACATTGGGTAGATGGCGAGTGCCAGTGATCGTGGCTAATTAAGGTGTGTCATGTGGAATTTCCTTTTGCAATAGATTTTGTTTTGTTTTTAAAGGAAATTGGTTAAAAAATTCGGTTAATAATAGTCAGGCAAAACTGTGAGAATGGCCTGAATGTGTATGTTTGGGACAGGCTGTATTCTGTGACTTGTCACAATTATTCTTTCCGTGTGGTTTAATCTCTACACATTAATTTAAAAAGAGGAAGCGGGGTCAGAGGAGTTCCAGGACCTGCCCACGGTCTCACTGAGTGACTGGTGGAGCCACTGGGCTCTGAGACTGCTACCGTGGGGTCAGCTGTGATGCTCAATGATAAACGAATAAATGCACGATAACCTGACCTCGGAGGCGCGCTGACCATGTGGTGGGCGCACCCAGAAGGCTCTGCCTAGACCATCTAATATTCAGAGCTGCCCGAGGCGCTGGGCTACTTTTATTCGCCCTGAGTGAGAAATGGAGACTGGCGGCCCAGTGAGGGGACGACCTTGCCAAGGGCAGAGCTGGGGGCCGAGCTCAGGAGCGGGAAGCCCCACAAAGCGTGGGTACCCCTCGCACGGGGTCTGATGATGCTGGAAGGCCAGGGGCCGCTCAGATCTTACCCCCTCCCCTTCCCCAGGCAAAGCTGCAAGCAGAGGCTAAGCTTCCTCTGCTTGAAGACAAAAGCTTTTCAAGCTGGCTAGTAAGGGGCGAGGGCTGAGGGCGCTGGGGAGGGGATAAGGGTCCCGAATGCCCTCCCTTCCTCAGGACCTCGGCCCCCTCAACTTCAGAGAACTTTCCCGGGGTGGAAGGAAGGACCCTGCAGCTCACGGGAGCCCAGAGTTATGGAGATGCTATGTAGACGGAGTGAGTCACAAGACTCCTTCTGCACTTTGAGTTTCTGGTGGGTCTCCTGCCGCTAAATCTGCCCTGGCTCCTTCAACTGAGAGGAACGTGGCTCTTCCCCGCCAGCCGGCTTAGGGCCTGGCCCATGTGTAGAACATTCCTAGGGGTGAGCCCACCTCCCGCACCAAGGGGGCTCGCGGGCGGCAGGAGCAGCACAGAGAGACGCCCTCAGGGCTGGTTGGCATTTTGGGGAAATTGTTCCCATGGCCTCAGGGGCCCGGATTCCAGATATAATTCTGAGCGATCATCCCTGAATCTGTTAGATTCTGCAGGGCTGGTGTCTGCCCTGGAGAACAGTGAGGGGTGAGTCTGTCAAGAGTCTGCTTTCTGAAGCCCCTTCTCTGACGGCGGCTTTTGGAGCAGGATCTGGGGTCCTGCTTGGGGCCAGGCTCTCCCTGCTCCCCTGGGACGGGGTCGCATTTTCACAGGAACCCAGCCGTCTTCCGAACAAAGAGGCGAAGCCCTCACCTCTGAAAGAATCCGAGGAATGTCTGCTTGTTCACGGCCAGCCTGAAGGACATCTCCTCTTCTGCGGGGCCCCTGCCGGCCCCTCGCCCTGTGTCTGGAGGCCGTGGGCAGGAGCCCCGGCCCCACCCCCACCTCAAGATGCGAGCATGGGCCTGGCTCCCTTGGGTGATGGAAGGAGACGCCCGTGGCCCGGTCAGATGCCACACTCTGAGGCAGCTCTGGCTGTGTGTGTGTGTGTGTGTGTGCGTGCGTGCGTGTGTGTGTGCGCGTGTGTGTGTGCGTGTGCGTGCCTGTCTCTGTACGTGCATGTCTGTATGGTGGTATATTTGCACGTTTCTGTGTCTGCGTTTGCATGTGTTTATGTGCGTCTCTGTGTGTTTGCTTTTGTGTATCTGTGTGTGTGTATATGTGCTTAGATCTCTGTATCTGTCTGTTTCTGTGTATATTTGTGTACCTGTGTGTGTGTGTCAGTATATGGGCCTGTGTGTACATGTCTGTGTACATGTATGTCTGTGTATGTCTGTGTATCTGTGTTGTTTGTGTGTCTTTGTGTCTGTATCTGTGTGTTCTGTGTATCTGTGTTTGTGTGCGCACTGGTGTGTTTGTGTATGTGAATGTGTTAGTCGCTCAGTCGTGTCGGACTCTCTGCAAGTCCGTGGACTTTAGCCCACCAGGCTCCTCTGTCCATGGGATTCTCCAGGTAAAAATACTGCAGTGGGTTGCCATCCCCTTCTCCAGGGGATCTTCCCAACCCAGGGATGGAACCTGGATCTCCTGCATTGCAGGCAGATTCTTTACCATCTGAGCCACCAGGGAAGCCCCATTTGTGTGTACATCTGTGTGTATCTATTTGTACATTTGTGTCTGTATCTGTGTGTGTCTGCGTGCGTCTCTGTGTATGTACGGAGCTGGGAGGGTGGATGGGGCCCTGGGCAGGTGCGGTGGGACCGCATCGCAATGAGCAGCATTTGCCAGAACCCAAAGCCCAGCAGAGGACATGGTGCAGGCTTGATGGGGTGAGAGTCTCTGACAGGGGCCTCGTGACGGAAAGATCTGGAACTCCGACCCGAGGGCTCTGGCCCCTCCTCAGCCCCCTGACTGTCGTAATCAAACATCCCAGCTGCAGAACTTTCTGGTTTGGAGGTTTGTTTTGAAAATGATTATACCCCAGAGATAAGAGAGCCTTCCAAACACACTCCTAATAAGGTGCGGGGGGCGCTCTGGGTAAGTAATAGCAGGCAGTGCTCATGTTCAAGTTCTATAATTTTCATTTCAAAGGGAAAATAAATGAGCAGGCGATGTCAAACAACCTCATCATGAAACTGCAGGGCTGCTGGGGGCGGGGTGGGGTGCCAGCACCCCTTTTTGAGGAGACACTGCAGATGCCAAGCAGAGCTCCACCCCACCCCACGGCGCCGCCCGCCCCTCCCGCAAAGGTTAGGGGCGGGGGCTGGCCTCCCGGGGGGGCACCAGGTCAGCTCTGCAGAGAGGCAGTGCCGCCGTCCCTGGAATGTGGTTCATCCTCACCTGTCCAGCCCTCCTCCCCAAAGACCCGGAGGTCGGTTGACACAGTGCCTCATCCTCCAGGAGCCACTCTGAGCGCCATCAGAAAGGAATCACAGCGAGGGGGGCAAGGAGGGCGATGCGTTCTGGTTGTAACGAAACTCAAACCCAGAATATTCAGGCGGGCTCCTGACTGCCCTGCCCTTGTCGCCCCAATGTCAGAGTGAAGGCTGCTGAGCATCACGGCTGAGCAGGAGGTGGTTTGAGGCAGAGGAATGCAGATGATTCCAGAAGGGTTTTCTAGCCTGCTGGAGGAAGGACTGGAGGGGTGGGCAGAGAGACAGCAGGCAGGAATGGGGGCCGGATATGAATCTGAGCTCTGCCATTTACCAGCTGCGTGACCTTAGGGAACTTACCTCACCTTTCTGACAGGCAGCTTCCAAGACATCCCTCAACGGCCCCCAATTCTACTGCGTGTAGCCCCCTCCCACTGGTCCGTGTGACCAGTAGAATATGGCAGAGATGGTGTGTCCTTTTGAGATGAGGTTATAAAAGACTGCACTGGCCCTAGGTCAGAGGCAGCCCTGTGCGTGAGCCCCAGGCAAGCCTCAGGTGGTGGCACCCCAGCTGACACCTTGATTACATCCTCTGGAGACCCTGAGCCAGAACCAGACGGGTAGACCCCCTGATTCCTGACTCATAGATACTGTGAGATGCTACACATTGGTGTTCTAAGTGGTTCAATTTCGGGATGACGTGTCATATAGCAATAGATAACTGATACATCAAGGGTCACTGGGAACATTCAGGGATTCAGTGCAGAAGATCCCCTGGAGAAGGAAATGGCAACCCACTCCAGTATTATTGCCTGGGAAATCCATGGACAGTCCAGGGGGTCCCAAAAGTCGGGCACGACTTAGCGACTAAAGCGCCACCATAGGGCTTAGAACAGAGTCTGCCATGGAGTTAACAGCTTACAGAAGCTGTAGACACATTAGTAGTCTGATGAAGCTATAGACCCATTCTCAAAAGAATGCTTAAAAATGTGCAAAATGAAACACGCAGGATTGAAAGGAAACCTATGATACAGGTGTACACCTGAAAGGTACTTCTAGCCACAGATCTCGGTGAGAGAATGTGGGTCCCAAGTTAACCACTCTTGTTGCCTGCTTTGGGTTGTTATTACTGGATCTGTATTCCAGTTCTCCAGAGATGAGCTGTGTGCTCCTGGGCTCTTTACACCAGGAGGATTAGAGAGAAGAGGCAGCCTTGTCTCTCTCATTGCATCACTGTGACCGAGCCTTTGTGCTGCCCAGTAGCTTTGGAGGCCGCGCCCTGAAACTTACATGTGCTGAGACGCGTTAGGGAAGAGGCTTGAGTACTGGGGGGCTGAGTCCTCAGGACCGTGGGGGGCTGCGTGGCTGATGACCATGAGCACAGGTCTGTGCGGGTACATCTTCTTGGACGTGCGGAAGAAGCTCACACTGTCATTGGTGATCAGGTCTGTCAGGTAGTCCTGGGGGCCGGGGAGAGACAGGAGAAGGCGTGAGGAGCTGGGCATCTGTGCTGAACATCGGGGATGCAAAAGTGACCAAAACAGACAATCCTTGCCCTCCTGGAGCTGCTGGTCTAGGGGGCAGACATGCAGTGAGTGGTGAAGTCACACAGGGAATACAGACAATAAGTAAGCAAGCAGAACAGGGAATGTCAAATGATAACACCTCACAGTGGAGGAATAACCCTGAGAAGGGGTTAGGGAGGATGGGAGAGGAATTGCAATTTGTCATTCATTCATGACAGATATTAAAACAGTAACACTACTGAGTGCTTAGGGCGTGCCAGGGACTCTCTTGGGTTTACATGTATTAGCTTGTCAATTCTTACATAGTCCTAGAAAGTAGGTATGATGAGAAGCCCTGTTTTCCAGAACAGGAAAGTGAAGGCCCAGAGAAGTGTAGTGAATCGCCCAATGTCACACAGCTGATAAATGTGGCAGCCAGGCCTCCTAAGTCTTGGTCCCTAAGCCTGAAGTCTTTTTAAGGCTCTAGGGATACCATTGTGGAGGGTGAATACATGCCTGCAATCCTGAAGGGTCTGTCCTGGGGGCAGGAGCAGATGAACATATAAACAAAGAGTCAAGATGGTGATGAGGAGTGACAGGAGGAGGAAATAAGACAAGATGTGACAAAGAGTAATCGGAAGCTGGGGCAATCAGGGAGGGCCTCTCTGAGGAGGCGACACTCGAGTTGCGACATGAGTGGCAAGAAGGAACTGGGCGTGGGAAGATCTCCATCACTGGAGTTCACACTCAGCTGCTTGCTGGAATCCTTAGGGGAGCTTTACTAATGTCTGGGCCCTCTTCTGGTTTAGCTGCTCTGTGGTTCAGCCTGGGAACTGGACTTAAAAAAAATCTCCCCAGGGGACTCCAATGTGCAGCCAGGAGTGAGAATCACTTATCTGGAGGAAGTGTTTCAGGCAGAGGGGACAGCAAATGCAAGGGCTCTGAGGCAGGAACAAGCGTGGAGTGTGTTCGAGGAATAGAAAGAGGATGAACAGTCAGCAGAGACAATGGAGGGACAAGCAAATCATGCCACAAACACAGGCAGGCAATAGCGGCTCCAGAAAAGTGACAGCCACTTAGATAACCAGGCAGGAGAACAGATGAGGGGGAGGAAACGTTATGGACAGGAAATTTTGAGGGCTTTAAAAGCTCAGCGAAGAAGTTGAGATTTGTTTAAGTTCTTCCTGAACTTGGTAAATCTTTAGCTGCTGATTTCTTTGGAAGGGAATGAATTCTTAAACATTTACCCTCTGCTTCCTAGGAAGCAGCTCCGTCCAAAATGATAACTTTCAAAAAGAGATATAATTTTACAGGAAAAAAGGTGAAGTGGCTACAGTTTCTATCCTTCTACGTTTGCACCCTGTATGAAATGCATGCACACTCCCCGGGTTCCTATGCTTCTGGAGACACACACCTCCAAGGCCACGCGTGCACTATGTGTGCACAGGACGGTCACTGCATCACAGTGACCAGCAACGGGACGATGACTGATGACCCTGCACTGAGTTCATACCGTGCAGTGCTGGGCAGACAGGAAAAGGGCAGCAGATCTATAGTGACCGAGGTGGAACGTTGTCCAAGATATGCTCTTAAGGGAAAGAGCAAACTACAGAGTCAAACTTCAGAAAAGTTTATTCATTTATTTATTTTTTATGGGAGGAGTAGGGTGGAGAGGAGAAACCAAACCCCTACCTTCATATGCTTCTGAGCGCTAAGAAAAAAAATCCAGAAGGACAGACCCCTAAGCTCTAGCTGGGGACCAAGATAAGGGGAGAGAGGGGAGAAAGTCACTTGCTACTTCATGCAATTTCCCTTGAAACATTTTGGGGAGTAAAAAAGGGTCTTATAAAGGGGCCCTGTAAAACATTACATAAAAATAATTTTCTTCTATATGATATAAATCAACAAGCTGCTGCTATAGCTGCATTTCAAAAATGGGTCCAATACCAGTCCCTTCAGATGGTGACTTCACACCAACTTGACAAGTGAACAGTGCATTTAGCAAGGAGCCTGGTACCAGGGGAACCCACGAGGAACACTGGCTCTTATTGTTATCAGACCTTTGTTCCACTGACCTTCATAGCAACTTTCTGAAGTGGACACCATGCCCCCATTTTACAGATGGGAAAACCAAGGCCACAAAACTAATAAGCAGCTCATTCAGAGTTAGAACCCAGGTCTTTGTGTTTTTTTGTCTGGTTCACCTTTTGTCCCCCAACAAACAAATATATTACTGGGAGGAGTAGATGGTAGTTTACATCAGGTCTTAACAAACGCCTTCTGTAAAAGGCCAGATGATAAATATTTGAGGCTTCATAGGCCAGAAGTCTCAGTTACAATCACTCACTACTGTCATTACAGCTGAAAAGCAGCAATGGCAGAAATTAATAGGCATGTCTGGGCTGCAGTAAAACTTTATCCATACACACTAAAATCAGAATTTCATATAATATTCATGGGTCATGAAAATTGCTGTGCTTTTGATTTTTTCCAGCTAAGTAGACATGGAAAAACCATTCTAAGCTCAGGGTTGTAGCAAAACAGTTGGCAGGCTGGGCTTGAGCCATGGGCTAGTTTTGAGAATGGATTTTGAAGCCTAATGGCCTGGGTTTGAATCCTAAAAGTGAAAATGTTAGTCACTCAGTCGTGTCTGACTCTTTGTGACCCATGGACTGTAGCCTGCCACTCCACTGTGGCAGGCAAGAATCAAATTCTCCAGGCAAGAATACTGGAGTGGGTAGCTATTCCTCTCTTCAGGAGATCTGCCCAACCCAGGGATTGAACCCGGGTCTCTGCATTGCAGACAGATTCTTTATTGTCTGAACCAGCAGGGAACATTCCCCTTCCAGCTGTGTGGCCTGGTTCCTTAGCCTCTCTGCGCCTCAGTTTCCTCATCTAGTGATTTGGGAAACTAACAGCAAATCGCTCACAGGCTCTGGTGAGAAATGCACAGGTTAATTCATAAACAATGATTCCAGTGGTATCTGGTGCGTGATACCCTCTAAAGGAGTATTAGCCGTTATTCCTCAGGAGTCAAGCATTTTCCTTGTGAAAATTAAAACAGTAGAAAGAAAGCTGAAGTTCCTTCTGATAACCTCTCATCTCCACTTCCAATCTTGGCCTCTTTTGTCTCCTACTGAGAAAGAAGTATCTTTCCTGATGTGCTGTTATGTATGTTACAGTTGCTTTATGCATCTTTTTACATGAATCCTATTATACTGTGTACATTCATTCATTCAACAAACACAGCAGTGAACAAGATTAACATTTCTGCCCTCATGAACCTTGTATTCAAATAGGACAGTTAACAAATGAATCCGTGATATACAAAGGTGTGGCACATCAGTGGTAATGGGGGGTGGGTTCGGGGTGGGGGGGTCCCGGTACACAGGGTGGTCTAGGAAGGTGACATCTGACTAGGGACCTGGAAGAGTCCTGCAACTTGCTTTTCCCACCAGTCCTTACATCCTAAGTGTTTCTGATGGCTTTAGATACCAATCCTTCTCATCTTTTTCCAGACTCTTCCATGGTCATTTAGTCATTTCCTGCATTAGTGGGCTTTCTTGGTTGATTTCCTTCAATGACACATTTGCAGCCAACAGCTGGGCTAAGCCCCTCTGTATAGGAGGGAGGCTTCTCTGGAACAGAGAGAAAGCGCAAACGGTGGGTGCACTCAAGTTCACGGCAACCGCCATTGCAGAGCCTCCCACCACCTGGACCCTCCCCTCTCCCCCACCTGTCACTCCTGTCTCCCTCCCGCTACCTGTTCTGCATTCTCCTGCTCGCTTCGACCATTCGGCTTGCTTTATACATCAGTCATTTCTCATCAACACTGCCTCTCTCTTTCCAGTCTGCTATGAGGACCCCTTTGGGGGGCACCTGCCCACCTTCGGGATCAGTGATTAGGGCAGAGTGCTCAGAGGCCTTCTGAGGGCCACTTGGGAAGGACTTCTGATTTCTTCCTTCCCTGGCCCTCTGCCCGGGCCCCCGAGGTTAGCCTTGGCAACAATGCTCCAACCTCCCAGAGTCACGGGTCCTCGCTCCCCTGCTCCGCGGTGGCTGGACACTCCGCGCTCACTCCTGTCCCCTCCTGGTGCTCCTGCCGCCCACTGCTGCCCTTGGGACCCGAACCCTGGACTTGAGCCAGCTCTGACCCCACAGGGCCCACATCCCTGTTTCCAGGCCTCCGGTAACTGGGTTTCCAGGAATTCTCCCACTTTGCCAGGCGGCTCCTCTCGCCGTCAGGCTGAGATGCATGGATGGCAGGAAATGGGGTGACAAAGCAGCCAATGCGCGTCCTGTTCTCAGTGCCAAGGGGGTGGGGTCTCCCTGGATAGCTTCGTTATCGGGCTGTGCTGAGGTCAGGCGAGGACATGGTGAGGAATTTTAACAAAGAGGGGGAGGATTTTCCTGGCTATTTGAAGGATCTGCCTGCACTGAGGCTGGGAGGAGAGAAAAGGTGTGTTCAGCTCTGAGACTGTGCTTTGTATTTCCAAGGAGCCCAGCAGACTGGCTAAATACCCCTAACCAGGACTTCAGAATTAATTTGCTCTGGAGAGGTCATGGAGGCAGGCCTACTACGTGCAGAGTGAGACATGGGGTCCGGAAGAGGCACTGCCCAGGTGATGTCACACGTGGTTTCTGCCCCTCAGGGCCTGATCAGACTTATACACGTGGGCGGTGATTACCGGTCAAAGCTGGGAGGGCTCCCCAAATGTGCTGGTATTTCCAGAAGGGAAATGGGATAAAGTGTATTTTGGCTGCTGAGATGGCAGGAATATTTGCTAGTCGCCGGATGATTTTTTTTAACGGTAAGTTTGGATGAACCATCAGTATTATTCGGTCCTCCTCCCTGTCATCATCACCACTGTCATCACTATTTAAGCCAGAGGTCGGGAAACTGCAGCCCACTGGCCAAGTCAGGCCTCTTGCCTGTTTTCGTAAATGAAGTTTTATTGAAACACAGGCAGGTTGATCTGTTTACACATCATCTTTGGCTGCTTCTGGGCTGCAAGGCGGACTTGAGCAGTTGTAATGGAGACTATAGCTTGTAAAGTCTAAAATATTTAGTATTTGGCCCTTTGCAGGGAAGTTTTGTATCTTGATCTGAGCTAATATATTCTGAGCAGTTACTATGTGTAGTGGTCTCCTTGATCACTCTACATGTATTATTAACTCCTATGAGCCTCAAAAGCCTTTGTGAAAAAAAAATTACAATGAAATACCACTATATACCTCTGACTGGAAAGTTGTATGAGGGAACCTCCTGGGGGTTGGCAATGCTCTATAATTTGGCTTCAGTGGCAGTTATGCAGATGTACACACACGTGAAAACTTCCTGAGCCATCCACCTAGGATCCATGCACCTTACCTGACTGCAGTTCAACAAACCAGAACTAGAAAAAGTATGGCCTAGGGAATGACCTAGGGGCTTCTCTGGTGGCTCAGATGGGAAAGAATCTGCCTGCAGTGCAGGAGACCTGGGTCGGGAAGATCCCCTGGAGAAGGAAATGGCAACCCACTAGTATTCTTGCCAGGAGAATCCCATGGACAGAGGAGCCTGGCAGGCTATAGTCCATGGGGTTGCAAAGAGTCAGACACAACTGAGCGCCTAACACACATATATATGGGGAAGGAGTAGGTTAAGGTATAGAATACCATACAACAAGAATGAAGGAGCTACACTACCAAGTGAGAACATGGGTGAATTTCAACAGAGTATTAAGCAAAAGAAGCTGGAGACAGAATTAATCTACAGTGCTGGAGGTCTGAGTGACAGAGTCCTTCTAGGAGAGGTGGCTGATGGAAGGAGTTACACGAGGGGGCCTTCTGGGGCTGGTGGCAACATTGCTTCTTGACCTGCGTGAGTGCTGGTTACATGCATCCGTTCAGTTCGTGAAAATTCGTTAAGCTCTATGTTCTACGTGCATGCTTTCTATAACAAATTTCTGCCCTAGCAAAATGTTATAGAACAATCCTCTCATATCACCTGGTGCATGTTAGAATGGTGAGCATCAAAAAGACAAGGGATGACAAGTGTCGGTGGGGATGTGGAGGAAAGGGAAGCCCTGTGGACCATTGCTGGAATGTAAAGTGATGCAGCTACTACAGAAAGCAGCAAGGGGGTTCCTCAAAAAATTAAAAATAGAACTACTCTATGATCAGGGGATTCCACTTCTGGGTATTTATCCAAAGGAAATGAAAACCGGATTTTGAAGGGATATCTGCACTCTCATGTTTATTGCAGCATTAGTCTCAGCAGCCTGGGTATGCAAACAACCCGAGTGTCCTCAATGTGGGTATGCAAACAACCCGAGTGTCCTCAGTGATGAATGGATAGAGAAGATGTGATGTGTATACACACACACCACACATACACACACACACACACAGAGGAATATTATTCCATCACAATAAATAAGGAAATCCTGGCAATTTGCAACAACATGGAAATGATGCTAAGTGACTTAAGTCAGACAGAGAAAGACAAATATTGTGTGATACCACACAATATACATGGAATTCGAAAGAGGTGAACTCATAAAAACAGAAAGTAGAATGGGTGCTCCCAGGGGCTGAGGGATAGGACAATTGGGGAGATGCTGTTTAAGGGTACAAACTTACAACTAGTAAATAAGGAAGTTCTGGAGATCTAATGCATAGCATAGTGATTAGAGGTAACAGTATTGTATTATAACGAATTTGAGCAAAATCTGGGAGATAGTGGAGGACAGAGGAGCCTGGTGTGCTACAGTCCATGGGTCACAAAGAGTTGGACATGACTTAGCAACTGAACAACAACTGTATTATAAACATTAGACTTGCCAAGAGACTAGGTCTTAATTATTCTCCCCACAGAAAGGAAAAGATGATTCTGCAACATGATAAAGGTTTAGCTAACACGACAGCACACACTGCATTTATACATATGCATTGAACCAACATGTTGTACATGTTAAATTCACACAATGTTATATGTCAAATATATTTCAATTGAAAAAACCCAATATTCTTACATTGCCATTTGCAACAACATAGATGGACCTAGTATTATACTTAGTGAAGTAAGTCAGAGGAAGACAAATATTAATATTATATGATACTATTTTATGTGGAATCTAAAAAATAATACAAATGAATCTCTGTAGAAGACAGAAAAAGACCCACAGACATAGAAAACAAACCTATGGTTATCAAAGGGGAAGGCATTGGGGGGAAGGATAAATTAGGATTATAGGATTAACAAACAGTCCACATAAAATAGGTAAGCAACAAGGATGTACTGTATACAACAGGGAAACACAGTCAATATCTTGAAATGACTTATAATGAAAAATAATCTGGAAAACGTAACTGCATCACTTTGCTGTATCATTGAAGCTAACACAATATTGCAATATTGTAAATCAACTATCCCTGTTGTTTAGTCGCTAAGTTTTGTCCAACTCTTCACAACCCCCTGGACTGTAGCCCGCCAGGCTCCTCTGTCCATGGAATTTCCCAGACAAGAATACCAGAGTGGGTTGCCATTTCCTTCTCCAGGGAGATCTTTCCAATTCAGGGATTGAACCCACATCTCCTGCTTGGCAGGTGGGTTCTTTTACCACTGAGCCATCTGGGAAGCCTTAAATCAACTCTACTTTGATTAACAAAAATAAATAAATAAAACAGTACTCTTAGAAACAGAGACTATTATTTGAGAAATGAAGACACTGAAGCAGAGGGTGTCACTGGGCTGCCAAAGTCCCGCACGAAGGTGTCACGATCCGAGCCCAGGGAGTCGGGGTCCCGTGTCCCGATCCTCAGGGCTGAGCCCCGCTGCCACCCCAGCCAGCAAGGGGGACTCACCTTGGAGTAGTCAAAGCCATGTTTCTCCTTCACTCCATTCCGACACAGCGTGTAGTTATAAAAGCGGGAGTTTTTGAGGAGGCCGACCCATTCCTTCCAGCCTGGTGGCACGTAGGAGCCGTTGTATTCATTGAGGTACTTCCCGAAGAAAGCTGGAGGGGAGAGGCACCAGGAAGCCATGTGAGGTTGCAGAGAGAAAAGCCTTCTCTCTTGCCATCACTCAATAGAAATTTCCAAACCACGGCAGGCCAGGACGTGGAGACAGCACTGTCCTCTGAACCACGGAGCCCCTCAGCCAGCAAGTGCAGTCCGTGACCCCCTTCTCAAATGCTTTCACATGCAGAAAATAAAATACATAGGACAGCAGAGGAAATCAATTGTTTTGAAAAACAGTTATCAAAGTATTAGAGTTTGCATAGAGTAATGGGTCCTTAAAAAAAAAATGAAGATGCTAAATGCAAGGCTTTGTAAAAAGTGGTCATTTCAAAGTAGTAATGAATGAGAATAGTTTTGTAAAAAATATTTCTTTATTTGGCTGCACTGGGACTTAGTTGTAGCACGTGGAATCTTTAGTTGCAGCATGTGGATCTAGTTCCTCGACCAGGGATTGAAATGTGTGGAGTCTTAGCCACTGGACCACCAGGGAAGTCCTGAGTGAGAATATTTTATTTTGCAATATCTACAGCAACTGCAATGGAATACTGAAATATCGGTGATTTCTACAGATGACAAATTATAGATTCTGCTGACATGCCATAGTTAGAGGCCTACATTCTTAATTGAAGCAAATGTCAAATGTCAGTTGTAGGTCAGTGAAAACAAGAGTCTAGTTTCTCACCACTCAGGTTTACAGACCTCCATGGATTCTATCTACGACTCAGTGACTAGAAAGGCTAACATTAAAAAAAAAAATGGACCAAGGCCAGTGGTTGGTGGGGGCGTGGAGCATCTGGAGCTCTCACACGCTGCCAGCAGACATGCAAACCGATCCCGGCATGGAAGAAAACTGTTTGCCAGCATCTGTTAAACTTGATCATAGTCATAGCTTCTGACCCAGCCATTGGAATCCTGGGTGTTCCCTCAGCAGAAACGCATTCATAGATTCACCCAAAGTCACAGGCAGGACAGGCTCACAGCAGCACTATTCATCACAGGAAATAACTAGAAACAAAACAGATATCCATCTGTGCACGAGTGGAGAAACAGGACCAGCCTGGTGGTCCGGTGGTTAAGAATCCAGTGCCAGTGCAGGGGCACGGGTTCGATCCCCGGTCCGGGAAGACCCCACATGCCGCGGGGCGACCAAGCCTTTGATCCTGACAGCCTGTGCTTTTCAGCAGGAGAAGCCACGCAATGAGAAGCCCCGCTCACGGCAACTAGAGAAAGCCTGTGGCAATGAGGGCCCTGTGCTCCCATAAACAACAGACAAACAGACAAACACCACTAAAAAAAGAATGGAGAAATACAACGCAGGTTTATATACCCGAGTATGTACGGAAACAAGGAAAACACTAGTGCCAGGTTTACTAACAGGGACGCATCACGACAAGCAAACAGTGTTAAGAGAAATAAAGCAGATATAATCATATCACTGCATGATCCCATTTACATCAAGTTCAGAACCAGGCAAAAGGAGCTAATGGTTTTGGGAAGAAAAGCAGTGGTCGTCGCTGGATGCGGGGGAAAGGTGGGTGGAAGGGGACTTCTCGGGTGATGATGGTTTTGTTCTACTGCTGGGACATGGGTGGTTCAGCTGGTGACACTCCACGGGGCTGGGCATTCACAGCACGGAGTGTCTCTGTATGCCTGCCCCCCACCACCAGCAAGGCTCACTTAAAAAAATCTTATCCTAGTTCATCCAGACTGGGACATATCCCGAACTCTCTGTGGGCAGTGAGGTGACACAAAATTTTTGAGCTACTTTTGGTTCTTTGTATCTTCCTCAATGAGCAAGGACAATTTTAAATAATTATAACCTATAAGGCCATTTTTTTTTTTTTTTTTTAAGCAATGGACAAATCTGTGAGAGTTTTTCCAGAGGCAGAGGCATCAGGGCAGCCCTCTCTTCTGGATGAGGACACTGGGGCTCCAAGACACTCAGAACCACTGCCGAGAGCTCGGGTCGTGGAAGGGATTTACAGAGATCCTGCAAGCGGGGTGCTGAGCTCTGCTCCTGGCAAATAGTGTGTCCAGTGGGTGTCAGTTCAGAGCCTAAGATAAGAAGAGACAGACAGGGATGAGCACGGAAGAATTGATGCTTTCAACCTGTGGTGCTAGAGAAGACTGTTGAGAGTCCCTTGGACAGCAAGGAGATCCAACCAGTCCATCCTAAAGGAAATCAACCCTGAATAATCATGGGAAGGACTGATGCTGAAGCTCCAACACTTTGGCCACCTGATGCGAAGAACCGACCACTGGAAAAGATCCTGATGCCGGGAAGACTGAGGACAGAAGAAGGGGGGCAGCAGAGGATGAGATGGCTGGATGGCATCACCGAATTGATGGACAGGAGTTTGAGCAAGCTTCAGGAGATCGTGAAGGACAGGGAGGCCTGGTGTGCTGCAGTCTGTGGGGTCACAAAGATTTGGACACAACTTAGCGACTGAACAACAACAACAGAGGAAGGAGAAGGGTGCAGGGGCTGGGCTATGATGCCAGCAGAAGTAAGATGGGGCCATCTGCTTAGAACTTCTAGAAAGCATGGATGCCCGCTTGAGTCCTGGTGGCTCAGAGAAGAGAGGCCTGGGCCAGGAGCGGCTGCCATGGAGCGGAGCCCTCTGGGATTTTCCTGGAGACCTGGCAGGTGGCTGGCACGGCCCAGGGGTAGGAAGATCCCTCCTCATCCACAAACACCAGATCCCTGCATCTCCCCCGGGCAACAAGGCAAGTGTTTCCATTAGATCCCCACCCCTGCACATAGAACCAAGGAAGGGCGTGCTCCTGAGGAAGGAGTGATGAACGGCCTCCTAGAAAGATAATGGCATCAGGAGGAGGTGGAAACACCAAGGGAGGACCCCAGGTGGAGCTTCCCTTCATGTGGGAGGACAGTGTAGAAATGACCAGAAAGAAGCCCCAGGCTGCCAGAGGCTGGAAAACCTGCTGCCCCGGCTCTGAGTCCTGAGTAACACCCAGTTTTTACAGGGGGACAGGTAAGCAGGTGATGGGTGCCCAATTTATAGTGACTGCACCTCCCAGCTGGGTATTGGGGCATCAAGGACTGAAATACCAGCTGGAGCTAAGAGGCAGCTGGAAAGTATCAGGTGAGCTGAAGGCTGGAGCCTCTTTCTCGAGACCGTCCCCTTCTAGAGATGCACTGTGTCCTCCCCGTAAAGCAGGGACTGAGCTGGGGGCAGCTCTGCCCCTTAGACACGGCAGGGTCTGCAGGCCTCTCAGGTTTATCACACCTGGGGAGGCGGACACTGCTGGCTTCTAGTGGCTGGAGGCCAGGGAGGCTGCCAAGCATCTGATAGAGCTCAGCATGGCCCCTCCCACAGAGAATCACAAGGCACCCAGTGTCAATAGCCTGGAGTTGGGGAAAAACCCTGATTTAAAATAACTCCACCCAACTCTCAGCATCTCCTTCCCACCAGTAAAAGAACCAATTTGTAAGAGCTGAGAAGGTGCCTGGAGACCAAGTACAGTCCAGAAAACAAGATCTGCAGAGTCTCAGTGACCTTACTCCCCACTTCTGGTTTTCTTTCCATAATTAGGGAGCTCTGCTCTGATAACACGGCCCGCCTCTCTCCACGCTTTTCCATTCCTCCTCCTCCGGGAAGACTGCCCCTAGGGGCAGCAAACTTTTTTGTAAAGGCCCAGAGAGTAAATATTTTAGGCTTCTTGGGCCAGACAGTCCCTACTGGAACTATTCAACCCTCCTGTTGCACGAAACAGTCATAGACAATTCATAGGCAAATGAGTGTGGCTGTGTTTCAGTGAAATGTTATTTACAAAGGTAGACAGAGGTCTGGATCTGGCTCATGGACTGCAGTCTTCTGACCCTTAGCACATACGTCTGGTGGATTTGGAGGGACAAACTGGACATGCAAAATCCAATTCTTCCTTAGCCTTCTGTAAGGAGTGAGCTACGTTCAGGCAGTGCTAGCTCAAGGGGGCCTGGCTCAGTGAGAAGTCTGTCTGACTCTGGGGTTTAGCATTAGGAAGTCCAACTGCCCTCAGAAGGAAGCCAGGTCCCCAAACCTGGCCTTTATCAGATTCCTCCAATGCTATTTTAAGTTCCATCTGCTGACTCCTTAATTTTATTTCTCATTTGGTTGAAAATTTCAACAAGGAAGAAGGGGACTTTAATAAGTCCCCACCAAAGAACCCCAACACTTTGTCATGACAAACAGTATTGGTGGTGATGTAAATATTTTCTTTTGAAATAAAGTGAAGTAAAAAGAGTGAAACAATTGGGAGAAAATATTAAGGTAATGACAGAATCAGTGTCCTGGGCATGTAAAACCCAATATATCCATTTAACAACTGTATTTATTGAGCACCTAAGGAGCTGGAGCTGTCCGCACCACTGGAAGCATAGTAGTAAAGACCACCCACAGGACCCCTGACCTCATGGGGCTCACACTGTGTGTGTGTGGGGGGGGTGACTGCGACAAATGTAGACAGTGATGTTGGTGACAACAGTGATGAAGAAAATAAAGGATGATGATGCAACAAAGTGGCCAGAGACGGACCATGGAGGTACCACTGGGTCAGGAAGTCAGGGGAGGGCTCTTTGAGGAATGATGAGAATGACAGGGAATATGGGAATACAAGGAAGACACTCCAGGCCGAGAGCACGGCAAGTGCAAAGGTCCTGGGGCAGGAACAAGCTCGGGAGCACACACCCTCCAAGATATCAGATGCCAGACTTCGCGCTCTGTGAGCATTTTTCTGGAAACAGTCCACAGCTTCTGACATATTTCGAAAGGAACCCAGGACCACAAGTCATTTAAGAAGCACTGAACTTCACTCTTGGTTTGCAGAAGAGTGAACGAAAGTCCAGAGGAGGAGGCTTAGTGATTCCCCCCGGGGGGAACTAGGGTCCCTCCCAGATCTCCCCAGTCCTCAGCTCATGATCCTACTGGTTTGTCCCTGAAGACCTGGGCCAAGGTCTTTCTGATGAATGTGCAACTTGGAATGCTGAAGAGCCTAA